CTCAGGGAAAAGGGCGGCCTACAAATGTTAATAAAATCTAAAATCTAAATCTAAGGCTGGTCTAATGCTTGTGTCTATCAGTCATCCAGGTCATGATTGTCCTAAAGGGGCTTTTTTCAAGAAGCAACTAGATTTTCTTTGTTTGTCTGTGAAGACATTTTGCTTTTCATCCAAGAAGCTTCTTCAGTTCATGGATGAGAAGCCCAGTTGCCTTTTGAACGAAGTACCTTTGGGTCTGATGCTTCTAGTCCCATTTTAGACATAAAAAGCTGGGCTTTGACTTTGGCCTAATCACTCTCTCTCAGCCCAATCACCTCACAGGATTGTTGTAGTGGGGAAAATAGGAGGATGAAGGAATAATAGGGATGTTAGCTGCCTTGAGTTATTCATAAACAATAATAAAGGTGGGATAAAAAATTCAAATAAATATATAAAAAGTAATTTGGTTTGAAGTGTATTAATAAAAACCAGTTGGCCTGGTCAGGTTTGTTAATATTACATTTATATATAAATATATTGGTTGTAATGACAGTTTCTATAGACCAGTGATGGCTAACCTTTTTTGGCTCCCGTGCCAAAAATGGGGGAAGTGCAGGGGGGTCATGCATGACCATGCCACATCCATAATGCTATGCGTGCAACCCAGCACGCATGCCGCATGACACCTTCCCTCGCTTTTGGCACGTTTTTTTCGCCCTCCCCAGACTCCAGGGGCTTTCTAGGAGCCTGAGGAGGGTGATAACAGCCCCCCCCAGAGGCCCTCCAGAGGCTTCAGTAGCTTCCCTGAAGGCTCCAGAGGGCGAAAAATGGCCCTATGGACAAATTGGAAGGGACGTCCGTTCCTAAACTTTTGGTTTGCCCATAGGGCTGGTTTTTCGCGCTCCGGAGGCTTTAAGGAAGCCTATGAAGGGCGAAAAACATCCTCAAAAGAAGGCCTCGCGTGCCCTAATGAATGGCTCCGCGTGCCACATTTCGCCAACACGGCTATAGACTAAGAGGATTATCTTTGTGTGCCTGTGTGAGACAAATATGTCCCATTATCCATTTTTAGAAGAACTATCCTCACTACACAGCCTTTCTTTTATACCAATCCTAAAATGAACATAGAGCTATATTTTTAAAGTAGCATTTTGTATAATCTCTCAACACAAATCTAGGTGAATAAAAAAAATCATCTAACATTTCTGGAAGTCTTATTGGCTGTTTGAGGCTTCTGAAAATATTTTCCCACTCCTGTCCGGTCACTGGGTACTGCCTTCCACAGCCATTACTACTTGGGCTGCAGGAGAAACCCCTCCTGTGTTATACAAGTGCAGAAAGTTAGACTTTGAGCTCTTTATGGCAACTATATATTTCACTATAGTGCAGGAATAAAAGCAGTCAAGAAAACTGAACAAGCTTTACTAAGTTTCATGCAGGCAAATCTTAAGATCCAGGAGTCAGAGTTCATTCTATAGTCTTGCACCAGTCGTCATCTCTGAGACCAGAAAGATTTTTGCTAACAGTAGTCTGATGCCAAAGCTCTTTTATAGCTCTGAGTCAGATACATCTATCTTCCTGAGTCTTGCCTTTCTTTTAAGAAACCTCGCTGAACATTTCTGTTCTACTCACTTGATATTTGTGTGAAGGCTTAGGATCTTTTCCTGCTCGGATTCTAGGTCAGGTGATTCAGCCTGCTGTCACGGTTCTGTACAGGTAACTGATTACCTGACCTTATCCCTATCCCTGGATTAAATATTAAGCAAAATAAGCATGTGATTAATGCACCACAGAGGGGGCACTAGAGTTTTTTCCTCCTAGCTACCATGACCTAAATTCTTTCACTGTCACACTCAATTTTAGTTTTCAGCACTTATGGAATCTTAATGTCTTGTCAGTGAACCAATGAAAGGGCCGAGAGGTACTACTGTTAGGCTTTGCTTAAGGCATCAATTCGCCTTAATCTGGGCCTGCTTGTCTACTCCTTTGAACACATGTGAAGATATCCAAAAGACTGCTGGTTCCAAATTGCAGAAATCAGTATCAGTCATGCCCTGCTCTTTCAATTTAGAGTTTGAATCTATTAGTCCAGGATCTTAATGGGAGATTAAGCATGAAACATTTCTACTGTTTTCACTAATTTTCCTGTGCTAATGTCATTTTGCAACTATCGAGGCAATAATTTTGGTTGTCAATTAATCACTCACTGCAGAATGCCACTCCCTGGCAGCACCTATTGTTTTGTTATATTTATGAGCTGGGTGAGATCAAAAGCATTCTGCCGCTTTCCCCTTTTAGCCCTAGTGCCAGGAAGATCAGAGAACCTATTTATCAATCTTTTGGAAGACTGCTAAAACTCTGTCCAAAAATACCCAGCTGACAGGTTGGGAGGGCAGCATGTGGGCCAGGATGCAGCCGGAAAGTTATTCCTTCCTGTTTCACCCTGCAACTCCTCTTCTTTATTACTGAAGCCAATAACTCTGCCATGAGGAAAAACCCTAGGACTAGTCAGTGGTACAAATTTGTTGTAAAACGAATTTGACAAATTTGCCACAGTCATTGTAACTACACACTTTCTCATTATATGGTAGAAATAAGACCCCTAAGACTTTTGATTCCAAAGAATCAAAAGTGCATTATTGCCCACTATTCTTTTTCATACACATGTGAATGCTCCCAAAATAGACAAATCAGCTTGTACAAAGTTGGCCAGTCAAATTTCTCTCACTGAAGCCTGGCCATATATTTGCAAAAGTGGTTCTGGCTGAAGGATTCAGGATTCAGGAGTTTATTTGTATGCCGCCCTTTTCCCTGGGGGGACTCAGGGCGGCTCACATCCAGAAGGGAAAGGGGAAACAGACTTTTACATGTACGACAACACATAATTAAAAGAGAACACAACATTCATACCATTCGGGAGGGTACAATCTTAGCCCCAGGCCTGGCGGGATAGCCAGGTTCTAATGGCTGTGCGGAAGGTCTGGAGAGTGGTGAGGGTACGAATCTCCACGGGGAGATCGTTCCATAGGGTCGGAGCTGCCAACGAGAAGGCCCTCCTCCGCGTGGTCGCCAGACGGCATTGACCCGCAGATGGAACCCAGAGGAGGCCCAATCGGTGAGATCTAATAGGTCGTGTGAAGTTTTATACCATAATTAGTTTTGAAAAACCCCGAAGACACGGTAAAGTGGCAAAGGTTTGGAGGTGGGCAAATCTGTCTTTATCTGGAGAACACATATCATATTGTCTGATATTAATATCTGGAAAATTCTAGAGCAGATGATAAAGAGACTGATTTATAAATGGTTCTTGGTGCTCTCTGAGCTTGGTTGTTTTTTGGTAGATGGTTCATTACCCAAACTAGGTAGCACCATCAATGCTAGTAAGGAGTGAGATTTGCTCTCAGTTTATATTCTAGTGGCTTGTCCTGGGGTGGTCTTAGAGATTCTTTGTTTGGGCTGTTTACTGTTGACCCTGGCATCAGGTCTCCCAAGGTCTTTCCACATATCATTACATCAATTCAGTAGAAGACAGAACAAAATTTTTGTCTTAACAGATCAATTAAATGGGCTGGTAATAACAATGCAACTGAACATGATCAAATGCAAAACATTTCACTTAGGAAACAAAATTCAAATGAACAGATATAGGATAGAGAATATATTCTCAGACTTGATAATATTGTAAAAAAGATTTTGAAAACTGAATATAAATTAGCTGTGTAATGTGGTTATCAAAAATGCAAATACAAATGATAAGAAAAACATTTCATCTTTTTTCTATAAGTCAGCTCCCTCCTTGAATGTGTGTTCAATCCTGGCTATCACACTTTGAAGACTCAAATAAATAACACTCAAATTTAACACACAAGTTTAGAGAAAAGCAATGAGGGCAATCAGACATTTTAGAAACTTAGCACAATGAAGAAATATGGAAGGAACCAAGAATAATGCAAGATAGCCTTCTCCAAATTTCTCAAAGAACACTATACAGAAGATGAAGATTTCATCCAAAAATGTTTTTTTGGCAACAAAAAAGCATTGAATTCCAAGCAGTAAAAATAACCCAATAGTAGCATCACATCAGAGAAATAGTGGGTTGTCTTTTATTGCATATATTCAAGCAGATGAAATAGCCATCTGTTGGAGAGACTATTAATTCCTGCACCAAGCAGGAAACTAGAGTCAATGGGCTAAAAATTCTTTTAACTTTATCATTTTAAAATGAAACTCTATCAAGGGACTTTCCCCCCTGCCCCCCCTTACAATAAGGGATGGCAACTGAGTAACTTTAGGATGAGAATATATTAGTAAGCACAGTGCACGTAACAGATGTAAATCTTACAGCTGTGTAGAACTGCAAATCTCATTACACTGACTATAGTAGAATATGCAAATTTTACATAGCAAACACTTAAGCAAATTGAAATCTAAAATATCTGGATGGTATCAGCTTGCCCTTGATGGTACCAGCATTAACAGAGCATCTGCATAATCTGATGACTCACTCAACTTCTTTCAGGATGTATATTAAAATGTTACAGATACTGTTAGACCTGAAAATCACTATTAAAAATAATATTGACCACTAACTTATATACTAGGTGTCCATTTCTGGAGTTATATATTAATTATGGACATTTTCAGGTTGCTTCATTATAATAAAAGTTGATCTTTGTACCTCTATCTATACATTTCACCCTGAATTTCAGTCTAAAGTGGAAGTGAAAATCAGCTGGCCAGCAGGAGGCGCACACATGCCTGGTGGAGTTGAGCTAAGCAACGGCTACAGAGAGCTCCACGTGCCACTTGCTGCCGATTCAGTCGAACTGGTAGTGGCCCGGAGCAGCTGAGAGCAAACCGGTACGGTGGCTCTTTTGGCCTGTCCACCCTCTATACCTGTTTTTACGGCAAAAGGCAAATTGCGCACATGCCCATACCGTGCGGTGCCTGTGCAAGCTGGTTGTTGCAGGGGCGGTGGATTGCGCACACTGCGTGATAGCAAACAGTAGTGATAGTAAGTGCAACCCACCTGTGGCATACATGCCATAGGTTCGCCATCACGGGACTGGAGCGTCCATTGCTGATTATAAATTCAGATAGGTCAGTGCAGATGTAAATATATATTTTAATTATAAAATGGAGAATTAGCAAATCTACAGAAAAAGTTGATTACCTTGGTACCCAAGTGACTTGTCAGTCTTCGAGGAACAGAGTAATTACTATTAGAACTCATAACACTGGATGTTTCATGGTCCATCCGAGCAGTTGAACTCTGTAAGTTTAAGAAATAGGGTTATAAGTGGGTTAAAATATTAGCACAATGCAAATGTGGAACTTACTGTTACAGTAAATAAGAAGTCAATTCAGTAAATATTTCTTTATTTTTGTATATATATTTTACTGAACTATGATTAACAAGCATTATCAAGTAACAAAATAACATAAATCCAAGATGCATAGAGAAAAGATACATAGAAAATATTTTTAAAATCTATTTAAAAATAAGTAAAGAAATATGTACTGTAGATGTACAATTTATCATAAACGTTATCACATTATAGACTGCCCTATTGCTTTTGAAATAAACTATAAAACCCATCCAAACCTGATTAGAAGCGGGTCCTGCTTTGAATGTTTTATTATTTTAATAATGCCTATGATTTTTTTTTGTAAATTAGCAATTGAACTGGATTTGTTAATCCATATCTTAATTGTTTAGAGATTTTCAATGTTGGGCAATTATTATTTTATCTGCTTATATTAAATAGATAAATAAGCGTCTCATTTTTTTAGTGTGAGATGTAAATAAATGCAGTAAATCTGCATCTGGGAATCATTTGATTGTTTATTTAATAGCAGTACTTAATTCTAAAGAAATGTTATGCCGTAAGGGCATACCTTTATCGAATGACTATCACAATTGAAATTGAGTCCACTTTTTGGACAACCTCACCAACAATTGAAAAAAAAAGTGTGATCTGTGTGCGCCAATCTAAATGGAATCAAATGCCGGCAATGCATAATCTTATACTGCAGTTCTTTCACTGAAGCTCCTATCTTATTGTTTAGATTTTTATTTGATATGTTATAACAAGCCAGTATAGTATACAGTGGAGGGGAATTTCCCACTTATGCAAAAACAGGTTCTTTTGTAGGATTTCATTTTCAATTGACCGATTGATTAAATGCTGTCAGTTCAGTGTTGACTCTTAGCAACCAGATAGATTTTCTCCATCATTATCTGCCCCTAACTTGGTCTTTCAGATCTTCTAGCACTACACCTATCACCTTTATAAATGAATCCATCCCACCTTTTTATTGAATGAGTGGGAATAATATAGCTTCCAGATGGGCAAATATTCTGCAGTATAAGGTAGAACTAATGATTTCAAAGCTTTTCAGAAGTCACATGGATAGATGGAACCGGATATACGTGGAACAACAAGACCTAAATCCAAGACATACCAGCTTACAACAGGGAAATAGTAATCTTGATTTCTAAAAATAATTTATTAGCAGAGTAAAGGGGATGGCAGAGTTCTAAAATAGGGCTGATATTTTAAAGAGAGTCTTCCAGAGGGGAGGGGGGAGCAGTATAAATGAAATAAAACCAAACAGAGAAATATTAAGGTGAAAATGCATCAATATCGGTAAATATTAGTTGCATAAATAAAAAGAAAAGAATCCATTAAATAGTAGGAGATATAGATTATAACAGCATCAAGCAAAGTAGTATGTGAGCTTTGCAACGGCACAGACAGGGGTGAAATTCAGCAGGTTCTGACAGGTTCTGGAGAACCGCTAGCGGAAATTTGGAGTAGTTTGGCGAACCAATAAATACCACCTTTGAGCTGGCCCCAGAAATTTTTTTTAGATTTTTAGA